ATCATTTCAATTGTTAAAACATATGATCTGGCCTGGGCAACTTCTTCTTCCTTCTCTTTCTCCTCCTATATTTTTATTTTATACTGATAATTTTAATTTTGTATTTGTAAATCAATGTATTTTTTGTATTGTTATATTTAATGGTAATTTATTATGTACTATTGTATTTCAATGTATTTTATCATGTTGTAAGCCGCCCCGAGGTTTCGGCAAGGGGCGGCATAGAAATGTTATAATAATAATAATAAAAAATAAAATTCCTCCTGCGTCACCCGAGACCGAACTCAATTGTAGTAGAGTCATCTCAAGCCCGCGAGTCGAGGGGACACACCACTCGTCGTGGTAAGGAAGGGTGTAAGATCGACATTTTGACTCGCCGCATTTATGCCGCCACAGGTCTTTGCCTCCAGATTTCTAACTATGAGACTACGCTGGCTCGCTACCAATATTTTCTGATGCAGAAATTAGAAAATATCATAGCGTCACTTCCGGAACAGCAGAGAGACCTGGCCCGGATTTTCACCAAGGAGGCAATGCAGGTGGCAGTCCAACAACTCTCCACGGCGAGACACCATGTTGATTGCGACTCCAGGGCTCTCGTCGGTGCTGTAGCCCTCCGTCGCCATGCCTGGCTCCGGAACTGCAATTTTCCGGATGAAACAATGCATCATATTGAGGGCATGCCTTTCAACGACTCAGGGCTGTTCAATGCCTGGACAGACCACAAGATGAAGACAATTCATGAGTCAAGAGTGACAGCTCATCAGATGGAAGTCTCCAGCCAGTCTTGGCGTAAGTGGTCTTGGTCCCGTCCGTCCTACCGGTATCAGCCCTATACACAATTCTCGGGCTGACAGTAATTCCAGCCTTGCCAGCAACGCCGGAAGCAACAACCACAGCGTTTCCAACAGAGCCATCATCGCCCTGATTCAGACAAACGCCAGTGCTGATGGGCCGAGCGAACCTCTCCTCATCTCTTGAATCCACCCTCCCCTCTTCCTTTTGGGGATCGACAGCTAAGTCAACTCCCCATTTGGGCATCCATCACATCTGATCAGTGGGTTTTATCCATCGTACAGCAGGGATACAGAATTGAGTTCGTTACCGTACCCCCGCCTGGACCGATCCGATTTATGCCTCAGTCATTGGTTCTCGTAGACGAAGTTCAACAGCTTCTTCGTAAAGGAGCAATTCGATGACTCGTGCTTCAAGGGGTTACATGGTTTCTGCTTGAGATATTTCCCAGTTCCAAAGTGTGATGGTGGTCTTTGTCCAATACTGGACCTACGTGACTTTAACAAATCCATCAAAACTAAGAAGTTTCAGATGACCACCCTTCAAAACATCCTTCTGTTGCTCAGGAGAGAGGATTGGTTCGCTTCTTTGGACTTAAAGGATGCCTATTTTCATATTACCATCCATCCATCTCACAGGCGTCTTCTTCGGTTTATGGTCGGTTCCGACCTGTCTGAATATAATGTTTTGCCATTTGGACTGGCTACTGCTCCCTGGGTCTTTACAAAATGCATGGCCTCGGTGTGTGCGCATCTTCGGCTCCAGGGCATTCAAGTGTACCCTTACCTAGACAACTGGTTGATTGTCTCCTTGTTGAGAGAAGGCCTTTGATCATCGATTCGGACTACTTGTGCTCTCTTGGATAATTTGGGACTGTGTATTAACCACGAAAAATCATGCCTTGCTCCCTCATAGATCATCGATTTCATCAGAGCCCGTCTCAACTCTACGATAGCAAAAGCCTTCCTTCCACAAGGGCAACAAGACAATCTTCATGCATCCATCCGTCGAATCCACATGGACGGAACTGTTCCAGCACTATCAGTGCAGAAACTCCTCGGTCACATGGCCTCCACAGTCTCCGTAGTCCTGCATGCCAGATTACAGATGAGGCCCCTTCAACTGTGGTTCAACAGTCTCTTCCAACCCCAGTGAGACTCGTCTCAGTGGCTTCTCTGCCTTCTGACTTCTGTCTTCCAGATCTTATCATGGTGGACTATGCAAAACAATCTGTCTGTTGGCATTCCATTCCATCCTCCTCACCCTACTCTGACTCGGTTCACTGATGACTCCCTCACCGGATGGGGAGCCCTGTGTGCCGGACTCGGTACTCAGGGCACCTGGGACTATCGAGAGACTGCCAAACACATCAATTACCTAGAACTGCTGGCAGTCTTCAAAGCCCTTCGGTCATTTGAGGGCACTCTTCGGGGGCAAATTGTTCAGGTTGCCCCTGACAACATTGTGACTGTATTCTACATAAGCAAGCAAAGCGGAGCGAAGTCCACCTCCTGGCTCACCTGGCTATGCAACTGTGGGACTGGTGTATCCTGAGGGAGATTACCCTCCTTGCCGTTCACCTAGCTGGTACCGACAACAAGGAGATGGACACACTCAGCAGGCAGATGTCGACGACCCACGGATGGGAACTAGATCGTCAGACCTGTCATCACCTCTTTCAGACATGGGGCTCTCCAGACATAGATCTGTTCGCCACTCACATGAACAAGGTGTGCAAAATTTACTGCTCCTGCGCAGGCATTGGCCCGGGTTTGAAAGGAGATGCTCTAATGATCCTGTAGGTGTGCATGTTCTTTTATGTGTTCCCCCCAGTTCCACTTATAACGAGAACCCTTGCCAAGATCACTCATGACAGTGTTCAGGGAATTCTCATCACTCCCTTGTGGCCCCGCCAACCATGGTTCCTTACTCTTCTCCATCTCTCCAGCAACACCTTTCGGCAACTGCCTCTTCTGATCACTCAACAGAATGGGGCTGCTCTTCACCCGGATCTTCCTTCACTCAATCTGACAGCCTGGCTCATTCGATGAACAATGCTGCTCCTTTGGTACTGGCAGCTTCAGTGGCTTCAGCACTGGCCCAACACATTCTAGATACAGCTCCTCGTTCTCCCTTGGTACCGACAAATGCCTCATCGGATCCGAGTACTCTGCATCCCAATATTCAGTTCATTCTCCAGTTTGCACTAAGACCTACAGCCCACCAATCTTACATGGCCAAATGGAGGCGCTTTACATCTTTTGCTGAATCTAATAGCTTGATTGCTCATTCAGCCTGCATTGAAAACATTCTTCAATTTCTCTTATCACTACATCAGTCGGGACTTAAACCGTCATCTCTCAAAGTTTACACTGCTGCAATCTCCCACTATCATGGCCATGTGTTGGGTTCTTCGGTATTCTCTCATAACCTCATTCGTCGATTCTTTAAGGGATTGCAGAATCTACAACCACCAGTTAGACCAGTTATTCCTTCTTGGAGCCTCTCTGTCGTTTTGCAGGCGGTTACCAGACCTCCTTTTGAGCCCTTGGTGACTACTGACTTGTGCCTCTTGTCTTGGAAGACTGCCTTTCTCGTCGCTATTACATTGGCTAGAAGGGCCAGTGAGCTCTGTGCACTCAGTATAGACCCTCCTTATCTCAACTTCCATAAGGAGAAGGTCGTTCTCCGTACCGATCCGGTGTTCTTACTGAAAGTTGTGTCTCCTTTCCATATCAATCAAGACATTATCTTACCAGCTTTCTTCCCTACTCCATCTACACTGATAGAACAATCGCTTCACTCTCTCAATGTTCATCGTTGCCTTGCCTTTTACAGGTCTTGCACAGAGTCTTTTCGCAAATCTAACCAGCTTTTCGTCAAGTACTCAGAACATGACAAGGGCTCTCCTATTGGATCCCAGAGACTTTCGAAATGGATTGTGCAGACCATCAAACTGGCATATCAGCTTGCTGAATTGGACTTAACTGTCATGCCCAGAGGGCACTCTACACGGGCAATAGCAGCAGCTTCTGCTTTTTCTGCTGGCATCCCGATCCAAGACATATGCAAGGCTGCCACTTGGACTACTCCTTGCACCTTTGCCAGACATTACTGCCTTGATGTGCGTGCCAGACATGATTGCTCCTTTGGTTGGGCAATCCTTCTGTTCTCCAATGACGACACCACCCGCCTCTGGGTTTGGTAAGCTTGCTAGTCACCCATATGTGTGATGCACAGAGGCCACGATGAAGAAAGGTAGGTTGCTCACCTGTAATTGTCGTTCTTCGAGTGGCCATCTGTGCTTTCACACAACCTGCCCGCCAACCCTGCTCAGTGTTGGTGACTGGGTTTATACGGTACCTTATTTACTTTGATAACGGATCTGTAGGTGGTTTTTCTTTTAATGTATGTATTTATTGCATACATTTATTTATTGCATTTTTCTACTATTCAGCAGATTCCCTGCTATGTTTAACGCTCCTGTGGGGAGGGGGAACAATTGGTCTCCAGTAGACTGAGGAAATGGTGGGCACTCCGCCTTCTTATACTGAAAGGGGGGAGGGGTGCGGAGTTCCTGCCAAAACTGTTTAGCTTTAAATCTTTCCAGCCACAGGCACTGTGCAGGTGCAGCACCCATATGTGTGAATGCACAGATGGACACTCGAAGAACGACAGTCTTTCCCCACATTGGCAGCTGGTGTAGAAAGAACTGTACTGGCTGCTTCTTCAAGGTTGTAAATGCAACCTTGGGGAATCTATTGTGTGGGTGTTCTGGTTTTCCAGGATAGGAGGAGGCTGGCACCATCATGATATGAGGTATCTTGGCAGTAGTTCCTTCCTTCCTGTTCTGAGGAGGTCCTTTCCTCCTGCTCTGAAGCATGACAGACAGCCAAAATGGTCCTTCACCACTGCATCCCTTCCCCCTTGTACAGGATGCCTGTAATCCTTCAAAGGGCTATTGGCATCTGGATTGGATTGGATTTCTTGCTGTGATACATATAGCATATGGTTTTATATATTGCATTCTATGCTTTGGAGGCAGCAGTTTATAAATCTGCCAAAGACCTGTCCCTATGTGTTTATGGCAACAGCTAGACATACAAACCATGGAAAAAGGATGCTTATGGAATGAATGGAATACATTCTGTTTATTAAGGGAAAAATAAGGATAATTTCAACATGTTTACTACTTTTTGCAACAGAATCAATGATCATGAACATTGTGCATCACTACTCATTAGGACCATTGGAGCTGGCATTGTCAATTGTGAAGATGACAAGGGAAGGTAAGAATTGCTTGGATCAAGAGGGTGGGTTTTTATTTGTTGTTTACATTGAATGAATTTTAAATGTGTTATATTCAGTGGGGAGGTGGAAAACTCTTTGCTCTAGCAAAGGGTTCCTTCAATCAAATGGGGAGAGGCGGTTTTCTCCCACCCATGAGAACCCCCAGTGCCACCAAAAAAGTTTTCCAACTGTCCAGAGCAAAAGATGGATGATGGAAAAAGAGGGGATCCCTCACCTCCTGTTTCACTGACAATAGCATGCACCGGATCAATGAACCTTCCATTGGCAGAAGGTCACTAACTGGACACAGCCTGACAGGTTGGAAATGCAGATTCTAGTTACGAGTTAAAAAGGTGAGCTTACTGATATCTCTGAGAATCACTGCTGAGCACAATTAGAAACAATGCTTACTTCCATTATAAAGAAATCTGTTGTCCCTAGCAATACATGATGAATACTGCCATCCTGTGTTCCAAAAGTGACTGCTGCTGCTATGCCAAAGCTTCTGCCAGCATTATATAGTTGAAATCCCATGCTCCCTCAGCAGCAAAATTGAAAGGACATGTGAGTTAGAGTAGAAAAAAAATATACTGCATTGCAACAATAGCTATCCTTTCCACAGAGTTTCTGGCAATGTTGCTGCCACCTATCAATCAAAATGATGCCGGGAACGATTGACAGCAACAGAAGAAGGGGATGGCAGAGGATGAGGTGGCTAGATGGAGTCACTGGGGCAGTGGGTGTGAGCTTGGGTGGACTCCGAGGGATGGTGGAGGACAGAAGAGTCTGGAGGAATGTTGTCCATGAGGTTGCAATGGGTCAGGCATGGCTTTGCAACTAAACAACAACAGTCAAACAAAATATCCATCATTGATCATGCCCCCATGCATAGAAGGCACCACTCAATGTAGCAAGAATGCAGAAATGATGTTCCTTAATTCACTCCATACCCTTTCTGATTCCACAAAATGCACACAGGCTGCTGGGAGTAGTCCATGACTCCCTTGTCATGAGGATTTCACCTAGAATTCACAAGCTGCAAGTTTTGCGAGAGAAAGATTTGAATTACATAGAGTGTATTTTCAGGCAAGACATGTAACATGGAATTGCACAGCCTCATTCACCCAATTTTAGGGGGTGGTGAGTGGGCAGGTGTCCAGAGATGCCATCTTCCATTGTAAACCTCCTGAATTTTCCCACCACTGCTTCTTTTTTCAAACCACAAATATCTGAAGAATCTGCAAAATAAAACCTGGCTTTGGGGTTGTTTTGTTAGCAATGGTAATAGCAAAACTATAGACCTAAAGGCCTGCTCTAAAGGCCTAACCTTGCTACCAAAGGAACAGACAGAAAAGGCTGAAATTAGGGATGGAGAGAAGATTGATGACAGCATTAATGTTGGAACTGCTGTTCTTTCTCCTGTATTGCAAAGGCAGGTGGACGTTGTGCTCAATGCAGGAGGACATTGGGCTTGTTGCAGGAATTAAAAAGGCAGTGACAGCACAGCCTTCCCTTCCCGGACCTTGTTTGTTTGTTTCATTTTTATACTGCCAAATAGCCAAGCTCTCTAGATAGTTATCATGACTGTTTGGGTTCAGGTTAAGGTGCCTACTGCTCTGTTGGCTAGTCATCAAATGCCTGCTATGTTTAATCTTTCTCCTGCCCCCAGATATGACCAACCTAAAACGTTACTATTTTTACAATACAAACGATAAAGCCCTAGTTACTAGGGACTAGTAAACAAACTCAGCTTTAATCAATTCTGATTTTGTAGATGTTGCCTTATTGAGATGTCTTACAATTTAAAATCTTTCATCAAAAATAAACAGTTTTAAACTTTATAGTTCCTGTTCAAATGGTTCACAACATCTCATTACCTTTTTTAAAGTGAATGCATTTTGGTTCTTGTTGCTTGTCTCTTACGTTTATCAGCTGATGCGTCCTTATTTTATTTTTTCATTAGTTCTGCTGCTAAAAAATTCCCCATGACCATTTTATGTTCAAGTAGACTAAATGAAAAATGTGGGGAATACTCCCATGTGAGACTGCTCAATCATTCTAAGACCACCCCATCCTCTGCAGTGAGGTGGCTAGCAACATGTAGCAGGGCTTTCTCAGTTGTCATTTCTCACTTCTGGAACTCTCTATCAGTTTGGGTTTGTTAGGCTTCCACATTTGATGCAAACTGATTTGATTGGTAATGAGACTGTTTTCATTATTTTGTGGAATTTATTTTGCATCAAATTTTGCTTTATATTTTAAGAATCATTTTATTATGCCTATTGTTTTGAAATTTTATTAGCTATTTTGAGAGTTTGGGGCTGTGGGGTGGAATGTAAACAAACAAGCAAACCTAGTGATAAATAATGGTATTCTTTGAAAGGCTCTAACTATGTTGTGCTTCTGCCTAGAACACCACTTCATGCAGCAGCCTTTGCTGACCATGTAGATTGCTTGCAACTTCTCTTAAGTAACAATGCACAAGTAAATGCTGCCGATAATTCAGGGAAAACACCACTTACGATGGCCGCTGAAAAGGGGCATGTAGGGGCTGTAGGTAAGTAGATGTTCACTGGCAATTTGATGAGAGTTAATATCTTTTTGCAGGTGTGTGGAATCTATAGATGTATTTAGTAATATTCATACTATTGAAATTGCACCTACAATTTTTACATTTATACATTTTTCAAAATTCACTTCTATTCACTTTTGTGCAAGGACTTTCAGTAGGGCAAATAACAGAACTATAGCCTGGCTGCTTTTAAATATGCAAGATACAAAACGCAAATGATAATATCTTAGAACTAATTTGTTTTCATGGCTGAAGTAGGTAGGATTCACATGACTCAGCAACTCATCATAGCTTGAAGCATGGGGTGGGTTGTTGTGTTGTTTGAACCCAGTTGCTGATTTCCGTCATCTGGCAATAGGAAAAGGTCTATAATTCAGGCATGCAAACTTGCTACAGTTTAGTAGTTTCAGTGAACACTTAAACTACTAAACTTAAACTACATTGGATTAAGTTAATCCAATAATGTAATTTGTTGCTGCAACTGCAGTTTCTTTGGCAGTTCTTAAACAAGTGGCACAAGAAATACAGTACTGAATTATTGATAAATGATGAGTTTAACTGTGTCACACTTCAGTTCATATTGTACTGAATGGAATGCAATTAATCAAAGCTTAATATTGACAGTGGAGCTGTTGTGGCTCATCTCAACCAAGGGATGGCCTTCAACCTACTTTAGAAGAGGCTGTGCTCCCCCTGAAAGATCCAATCTGCAATTTAAGGGGTGGTATTAGATGTGCCCTGGGAGGTGACCAAAAGCATGAAGCAACATTTGCCCTTCCTCTGCCCTGTAGCCCTCTCTGCTGTCTGAAAATTTGCTCCTGAGGATTTTGCTGCCCCTGATAGTAAATTTTGAGGGTGTCTGGGATGGGTAGCAGTAGTGGAGGAGGAGTAACACCCTCCTGATGCTACCATTGATTTTTGACATCCTGATCCAGGTCCCCTCCACTTTCTAATGTTAAGAATGGGATGACCACTAAGTGTGCCTTCTTATCTGTGACACTGCCTTGCACTTCCCACAGAGAGGTTTATCTGGTACCATCTGTTATCTCCGATAACGTTTTTCATTTGCCCTGGCCTTTTAGGTTTTATGTAGCACGCATTTACTTAGAAATAAGTGACACTGTTTCCACAGAAAGTATGTTTATAATCTTAATATTTAGGTTTTTTATGCTAGTGTTTTACCCATTTCTGCTGTGTTTTTTTAGTGTATCATTGTTTTTTATGTTGTGATTGAAGAGCAGCAAATAAGCTTCTTAAATGAGCCTTGTAATCTCCTATAGAAATAATATGAATAGCTTGGAAGGTCTTTGATTGGTACTATGGAGACAATCTTATGGAATATCTTGTTTTTTTCTGAATTTCAGATTTTTTGGTAAATAGTGCCAAGGCTGATCTAACTTTGAAGGATAAGGACTTGAATACATCCTTGCACTTGGCTAGCAGTAAAGTATGTTTAAAAACATTTGTGTGCATATTTGTATGTATGTTCATGTGTGCAAAATGTAGTATGAAACAAATACTGCTAGTTATTGTTATATAACAGAAGTTATATCAGAAACAAACATTAAATCAGACTCTGCTTTGCAATGAAGACCTAATTCATACTGTCTGAGTATATGGTCAGCCTTTTTCTAAAACACTTTGTGCAAATTTATAAGACTGAATAGAATTTTAAGCTGATTCAAGCTTGTAATAATTTTAAAGCTTTGATACATCATTTCATGATGTGTTGGATTATGGTAAATAAAGTGGTCTGAAGATGGGGAGAGAATAATGGCTGTGTATAATAAAAAGCAAGAAACCCAAAACAACCCTCCTAAGACAGCCCTCCTTTGTTTTCCTTTGCTGTCTCTCCTTCTGAAGTAATCTGTTATTAAAAAGTTGGCTTTTCTTATTTGTTTGTATGCAAGATGCTCTGTGACTGAAGGGTAGTGTGCAAATTAGGCTGGAGCTGAATTATTTCGCCTATGGTCCAAGGAGGAGGAGTAAAACAAGATTCACCTGATGTTTAGAGGACTGGCTGAAATGTAAAAATTTGGGAAGCTGGGAAGCAGCTTACAGATGAAGTGGCAAAAGGTCTATATTTCAGCCCTTCCACAGTGTCCACAAAAAGGAAGCTTAGCTGCCACTTCAAGCAGCAGTGACCTGGTTGGAATGCCTCTATGCAGCTGTTGGCATCTCTATCAAGTCTTCAAGTGATAGGAAAGCTTTCTTTGTCAGAAAAAGGCAGACAGGCTCTGCTGCTTGTGTTTAATGAGAAATCATTTGCCCCCAGCCTGTTATTAGATTTTTCTCACTCCAGTGGAGTTTGCCAGATGTGGTGCCAAAATTCATAGGGGAGAAACAGCTGTTTTAGAAAGCAAGAAAGGCTGGTTTGGGGAATGGGAAGCTATGCCAACATATCCTAGGTTTCAATATTGCTGGGACCATGGGTGACTGCTACTGCTCATGTCTTCTTGTCCCAATACACCATGGTGTCTTTGGCTGGGGGAAAAGCAGCTGGTTAGTGGTTAGCATGTACACAGTGTGAAGAAGTCAGTGGTCCTTCACTACTTTTGGCAAATCTGGAACCTTTCTTCCATCAGTAGAGCTCTCACCTTGTCTGCATTCTCCCTATCACCGCTCTGCTTGCAGACAGAAGAATATAGGGCCATTTGCCCAAAAGGAAAGGTACACTGTTAGGGTACAGAGTAGCATGGCACTTTATTTATTTATTGTGCCATTTGTATGCTGTCCCCTACTCCAAGGAGAGTTCCTGGGCAACTCACATTTAAAATTAAATCCACATTAAATCAATAAAACTAATAAAAACAACCAGTTCTGTTAAAACAATGAACTATAATCAAAAGAGCAATAAACAGATAGGTCATTATATGTTCTCACTGGGGGGTAATAATAAAATGATACATTATTACAAACATTAAAATCAGTTGTTATTTTTAATTAACATTTATTGTTAATAACTAGAAAAGAGAAATGTTTTTGTTTGGCACTGAAAAGAGAGTAGTGTTGGCACTAGGCAAATTTCTCTGGGGAGCCAATTCCACAAGTGGGGATGGCCATTGAGAAGGTCCTTCTTCTATTTTCCATCCCTTTCACTTCTTTGAGGGATGGTTCCTTTAGAAGGACCTCCTGCCCAAATCTCAGTGGTCAGGCAGGTATATATGAGAGAAGGTGGTATTAGGTAGCTAGGTCCTAAGCTGTTTAGAGTTTTAAATGTCAAAACAAGCACTTTAAATGTGTTAACTAAACAAGCACATATCAATAAAGGATCAGAGATTTTCTTTCTCCTAATACAGGGCATTTGTACATGAGGTGTTTATCATATATTCATCATTCCCTGCTCACAATTGCTTATGGATTCTTTAGTCAGTGACCCTCCAGGCCTTCTTTTGTGTCCAACCAGTACTTTCAGTGATTTTTTAGAGCAGGTGAAATGAAGCATTTAACTGTGAAAGAATGCATGATTTCCTCTTTTGTATTTGCACTTTCACACTCTGCCACAAAGGAGAAATGCTCCTTGTTGAACAACTGGATCTCAGTTTTGTGGAAAAACCTATATAGCATATAGCAAGGTAACTGTTCTCTAGCTTCTGCATGTAAATCACTCATAACTTAAATCATTACCATGAACATATAACAGAAAACCAAACAGCAGCATGTTCTAAATATGTTTATGTATTCCAGGGACATGAAAAATGTGCCTTGTTGATACTTGAGAAAATACAAGAACAGAGCCTTATCAATGCAAAAAACAATGCATTACAGACGTAAGTATAATTTGACAAAAATGTACTGTTCACTAATACTAACATTTAATGTTAAAGTCTCATAACTTATACTTTGATATTCTGAAAATATAGCATTCACTCCTTGTTTGTTTTTTTAATATTTTAATTTTTTCAAAGATAGGTTTAGTACCCTTTATTCTGAGCACTTAAACATGGTGTGCATAATATCCAGGCAGACCTTTTGAAATATGCATCAAGTGTACTTGCATACAGATGTTTTGTTTTCTAGACCTCTTCATATTGCTGCACAGAATGGCTTGAAGATGGTAGTTGCAGAGTTACTGGCAAAAGGGGCATGTATACGAGCAGTAGATGAAAATGGTAAGTAAAGGCATTCATACTATCATTCACAACCAATAACTATCAGAAATGGCTCAGTGTGTATGCATTTCTAAAATATACCCAAGCTAGTTAGAAAATGCCAGTAAGTATAAAAAAGATGTGCATTGTGCAATTTTTGAAGCAAAAAGGGGATAATCCTTATAGCAGTTTATTCAACATATACACCAATCTTATTTTTGCTTATTTTACAAACACTGTTGGCAACAACTTATTATTATTACTTTAAATTGAATGTTCAAGCTGTATAGAAGCCAACAGAACAGTTTAACTTCTTACATTGAAGAGGGCAGTGTTTTAAATACATTGTTAAAGAATGCTCAGACTGGGAAATAAACCCAAGGTGAGCTTAACCATGTCCAAAATCATGGGATCATATCTAATATATGTGGCAAGGTACTGCCACCTTGTGGCTATAGGAGCAGGAAAATTACATGTTGCTTGTTGTTGTTGCTAGTCGTGAAGTTGTGTCTGACTCATCGCAACCTCCAGGCTCTCCTATCCTCCACCATCCCGCGGAGTCCACCTAAGCTCACACTGACTGTTTCAGTGACTCCATCTAGCCACCTCATCCTCTGCCGTCCCCTTTTTTTGCCATCAATTATTCCCAGCATTAGGGTCTTCTCCAGTGAGTCCTTCCTTCTCATTAGGTGGCCAAAGTATTTGAGTGTCATCTTCAGTATCTGGCCTTCTAAAGAGCAGTCAGGGTTGATCTCCTCTAGCACTGACTGGTTTGATCACCTTGGAGTCCAAGGGAGTTTTCTCCAGCACCACAGTTCAAAAGCCTCAATTCTTTAGCGCTCAGCCTTCCTTATGGTCTAGCCTTCACAGCCATACATTTGCAACTGGGAAAAACATAGCCTTGACTATACACACTTTAGTCAGCAGGGTGATGTCTCTGCTTTTTAGTATGCTATCTAGGTTTGCCATAGCTTTCCTCCCAAGAAACAAGCATCTTTTAATTTCGTGGCTGCAGTCCCTGTCTGTGGTGATCTTGGAGCCCAGGAAAATAAAATCTGTCACTACCTCCATTTCTTCTCCATCTATTTGCCAGGAAGTGATAGGGCCGGATGCCATGATCTTAGTTTTCTTAATGTTGAGTTTCAAGCCAACTTTTGCACTCTCCTCTTTCACCCGCATCAAGAGGCTCTTTAGTTCCGCTTCACTTTCTGCCATTAGAGTGAAGTAGATATCATCTGAATAGATGTGAGTGAGTAGATATCATCTGCATATCTGAGGTTGTTGATATTTCTCCTGGCAATCTTAATTTCAACTTGTGATTCATCTAGCCTGGCCTTTCTCATGATGTGCTCTGCATATAAGTTAAATAGGCAGGGCGACAGTATACAGCCTTGCCAAACTCCTTGCTCAGTTTTGAACCAATCAGTGGTTCTGTGTCCAGTTCTCACTGTTGCTTCTTGACCCACATATAGGTTTCTCAAGAGACAAATAAGATGGTCTGATACTCCCATCTCATTAAAAACTTGCCATAATTTGTTGTGATCCACACAATCAAAGGCAAACATTACATAGAAGTGTTCAAATAATACTTCCATTGGAAGTCTCTTTCATTTCCGATCTCTGAATATTAATAAGGCAAACTGAATTCTGTACCACTTTTTTGCACCATGTGGGATGTGTGTCAATTTAATTTAAAAAGAAACTACAGAGTACTAAAAGCTTTTTTCTTCATTAAAAAATAGCAACATCCTTAAAAGCCAATTATGTACTGAGCACATAACATAATGGGGCATTCTGTTAAGGAAGTGGGCTTTACTGTAGCATTAGTAGCTTGCTTTTTTCACCAAATTAAAAAAAATGTTCATTCATTTTAGAAGGAAACATAAGAACATCTCACCTAGCATTTTATTTGAAACTAAGGCATAATTCTGCTTGCTTCCAATGAAAAATCTTTAGAGTGTTAGACCCCCTGAAGATGGAATAAATCTTCAAGAAGCATTTGTCTCACACCCCCTTGAATGGTTGAAAAAGCTATGCCAGGTTTGGTTTAGATCTAGTTTATACAAGCAGCTTCCTTCTTGTATGACACTTAGCAGTCTGTGGGGTGATCAATACACAGGGAGCAATCTGGAGATCATATCTTTGTTTAGTTGTCATGTTTTGTTCTAGTTCTGCCTCCTGAACAAAGCTTGGAAGAACATGTACCTGTAAGAAGGCAGGACGTATTGTATAATAACATTTTTGCAGCTTCTGCTCTTTTATCTTCCATCTTCTTCAGGAGGTTTTGAATGTTTACCTCTCCATCCCCCAATCAGTCATATTATCTCAGTCTTGTCACCTCTCCTTCCTACAATGAGATATCCAGTAGCACCTCTTCCCCTTCACAGATACAAAGATTTCTTGGTTTTCCTTTGGTGAGGCTGGTAGCATAGCTTGACCTCTTAGCAGCCTGTCACATTGCCTTTTTCCCCACTGAGTGTATTTAACACTTGATTCATTAATAAAAACACTAGAACATTTAAAATTAGTGAGGTTTTTTTCATTCTTGCTTAATAAAATACAACTGAAAGATGATCACCTGGCAAACATGGGTTCTTCATTTTATGAAGCCAATGATGGTATACATAAAAATAAATGTAACTGGCTTCTGAGAGGTTTTGGAACTACTGATTTTGAGAACAGATGAACCCTACAGTAGCACCAAGAACATAGCAACATATAATGAGCATCATAATGCTGTCATAAATATTGACATATAATGAGCATCATGATGATGTCATGTTCCAGGCACCTTACTGTAACTGGTGTACAAATGCATTTTTGTTAACGTTAATACCCCTGACTGCTAGTTCATGGGTATACTGTTAGGAAGTACTGAAGAATCTTGCTGACAGTTTGCTTCTCCCGGTATCCAACTTCATATGCAGAATGCAACGTTTTTACCAACTGAATAACTGAGCAGGCAGAGAAGCAGGCAGCTCAGGCTATGCTTTCTAGCAGGCGTTGCACACAAGCTCTTCTTGCACTGTTCATGTGAAATTCATCAGCGCTGCTGTTGCTGCATTGTTTGAGTAGTCAGATAGATAGGAGCTGCCAGGCAGTGAGGTGAGTGATTGGCAGCAGGGTGTTGGAACGCAGAAGCCTGTAGGCCATGAGTCCTGCTCTTTGTCTCCTAAACTAGCCCGTTGCATGGGTGTGTGGTAGAGGATGCTGTCCTATTGCCAGTGCTAAATTATTAAACTGCATTTCCAGTTGGCTTTTGTATATGTAGTGTGAGTATAGCATCATCTTGACCCTGTCCTTTGCCTTTGGCTGGTCCTGCTTAGCTCTGTATTTTTGTACATATCTGAAGAGTGCCTTTTATTTAACTGTAAAGCTTGCATGGCATTTGTATTTATGCAGTTGTGTTCTGGGGCATCTATTTTATCAGAGCAGACAAACCCCCCCCCACACACACACAAATATCTCAAAAGATATATAGCTTTGTAGGTATGCAGAAACCCTCAAACATGACCTAAAATAAGGTACATATGGGATAAGATTTTGCTTTAGATACTCTGTAGCTCCAAGATGATATAGAGTTGTAAAAGTCAACACTAGCATTTTGAATTAGGCCTGGAAATGCAGTGGGAATCAATATAGCTGATGAAGCACTGGTGTCACATGAACTCAATGAATAAAAGCACTCTGAGTCAGTGAAAGTAAATCTACCTATGCCACTGCTTATCCTCACCAATATAGTAGGCCATTGAATTTAATTAACATGCAAGCTGTCTGAATTATATGAATGGCACATAGCAGCAAAGGAATAGGGTTGCATACCTCATGACCGTGTACTTAATTGTGATACCACTCTGCCAAATGATGTTCCTTCAGTGGTACATCAAGATGCAACACTGTAGGCATTTTACTTTGGCTTCCCTCAGCCATGAGCTATCCTTGAATCAATCTCTGATAATATGCTATTATGAATTTATGAAATCTTGCTATTTTATGGTGGCAATGTAAACCTCTTCAAGGCTTGTGCAAGTGAGAAGTGCCATTGCTAATAAATATATATTTTGGTGAACTCTATTTCTTTATTGCACTCTGCTTTTTACAACTTTAGCTGAGTCGGATCAGGATTAAACATGATGCCTAAATATAGGCAGATTTTTACATTAAACTTAAAATGTGGCTCAGTTAACTAGAATGTTGAGTTGATTTTATCATCTGTATACACAGTGCATATACAGTGGCAAACCTTCTCTGGCACCTTGAGAGCACTGCCTGTCCTGGATACATTGCATGATAACAATGCCAATTTGATCCAGTTCAGCTCCAGGCTGTAAAACACAACATGTGGAAAGGGCAAAGGCAGAAGGGTAAATATTTCTGTACAAGGCACCATTTATGCACAGCAGTGGTGGGAAGCCTCTGGCTGGGTTGCATTCATCCAGTTCTTGTACATTCCACTGAGGTTCAGCCAAGGCCCCTGGCCCCTCTGTGAAGCCACACCCCTTGGCAAAGCTAGTGGAAAGGGAAGCTGCACCAGCAGGAGCTGCTGCCTTGAGGCACCTGGGAGGGCCTTGAAGTGACACTCCTTCAACATTTCCATCCTCTTCACATTTTCCCACAGGAAAGGTGCAGGGTTAAGCCTGTTCTATTAGAAGCTATCCCCTCAGGACTCCTGGCAGAACACTTTGTCACCAATGGCTCAGCAGCAGGGTTGAGGCTTCAGCTTCTCTGTGCCTCCCCTTCTCACTGTGCAGCATAGAAATGCTCCCCTTCTCACTGTGCAGCATAGAAATAAGGTGGCCTGTCCACAAAGAGCTGCTTTCTCTGTTGCCAGATCTCATCATTTCTGGTTTGCACAGCACAGAGGAAAGGGACCTGTTTCTCACTGCACAGCACAGAAACCAAGTGACCTTGCCATGGAGAAGGACAGAACTCTGTTTTTCACTTGTCTGATGATGCTGTTTCTGCACTGGATGGTGAGAGGTGAGAATGGAACTTCTGTACTGCATGGAAGCATAGTGAGCTTCCCAGGAAACAGCTGAGCAAAAGCAAAAAGGGAGCTGTTCTCTTGGCAGCTCTGCCAGCAGGCTTCCCTGTTCACTGTCATCAGATGTTTGACCCACACCACTCTTGGTATGCTCCTTCCAGCCACTGTCCCCTAAGGAAATTTATCCACCCAGATATATAGTAATATTCTGCTTGTTGCACAGAGAGATATCAGTTTGGGGGAAATTGCATTGCTCTAGTTATGATGAAATATTTGGGTTCTGTATAATGGCTTACACATTTTTCAGTTTAGTAAGGCCTTTGTTATATACACTATATGTTTTGATAAATATTGAAAACTTGCTAAATATTATTTTCTTATTTGCAAAGTAAATCTTGTAGAATTAATCATCTATTCATTATTGCTCTTATTTATTTTAGCCATATGATTATGTGAAAGTATGTATAAAAATAGTAATGTATGTTTTAAAATGTCAGGTATTGTACATTAAACATTGTACATTAACTTTTGAAAGTCATTGATCTCAGGATGGGAGTTACTCATCATATGAATTGAAGCTAAAGCTGTCTGAGTTCATAAAATTTTAAAAAATCAATTGGCTTTGTAGAATGTAGTTTACTTGCGTTTGTTTCATTTTGTGGAGGCTGTAAATTGCCTGCTGCTTTTCCCCCCTAAAAAATAGTGCTTGTTATGATCATATTAGCTTCATGAATTGCGTACTTCCCCAGCATGCCTAATTTTTAAAAGTAACATCGCCTTGCCTGCTGTGATTGTGACTAAATATACATCTCCAGGCTATGTCCCATCTAGAGATGTATCTGAGGAATGCTCAGATATCTTCCTCATACCCCTAGTACTAACCATTGCTTTGTCTGCATTTGTGCCCAGGTCATACACCAGCCCTGGCTTGCGCTCCTAACAAAGACGTGGCTGACTGCCTGGCACTCATTTTGGCCACCATGATGCCTTTTTCTCCTTCCAGTACAATGACGGCTCTCAACTTCGTTTCTTTAAAAAAAGACAATTTGAGCAGGACTCATCTCTGCAATAGCTCCAATATGAGTAGCACCATTAACTCCTATAGTAAACCCCTGAGTAATGATGTAGGAGCAGAAAATGGATACAATGAAAATGATTCTGATTCTGAAACATTTTGACTTGAGCATACAATGTTCCTGACTCAGTTGCATTTGGATTTTAGTTGGTATTTTTCTTTAAAAGACCTGAATTCCGGAGTTATGGTTAACCTTCACTTATGTCTGGAATTAGTAAAATTAGACAATGAAAGTCTTACTGTTGCAGCTACTTTCAGAAAAGTAGAGCCTTGGGGGTGGAAATACATTCTTGTTAATGTTCTACTACTTCCAGCTCTTTCCAGTTTTTCATAGGCCCTAAGGGCTCCTGTGGAAGATTCTACCTCCTATTTTATGCAGAAAGAAAAAGCTGCCTTTTTCTGTTTTGACAGCACAAGTAAACAGGGAACTGTGGTGTATATATTATTGTGTTAATTATACTATACTGTTGACATAAATACATTTTTCCTGCACAGTGTTCATAGTTCATAGAAAGAAGCTCACAACTCTGTTCACCTTTTGTCCGTTTTATAGTTTTTAGATAACTTTGTTATACAAACCAAAGGTAAAGCCACAAGTGTTTTTGTTTGTTTTGTTTTTAGGAACTGCCAGTATCACTGCTTTATATGGAAATTTAATGTTCTAAATTCCACATCTATTGAGCACTTAAATACACAAAAGGCACTTTTAAAAGACATTAGCTACACTTTCCTTTACAATTTGACAATATTTAGGACCAAATCTTGCCTGCCTCAGGCACAAGCCAATAGCCAATTGCAGCAAAGAGATTATTGGTAAGGCAGATTTGATTTGCCTTACTTTTTATTATTTGGTACAAACTTGCATGGTTTATTTGCACTCCACAGTTAAGGGTCCCTAGGAACTTGTGTCACCTGTGCTGTCAGACAAAGATATGCCCTAAGAAAAATCAGCTACAAATTGATAATGTACCTAAATAATTCATATTTGCCGATTTGAATAGATCTTTGATTTTAGGATCTTGAACCTGCAATGTGGTTTTTATCTTAAGCACTGTCTGGTTTTAAAATTTTGCAGCATCTGAGTAATATCAAATTACTTTTATTTGTAATTATCATTACTGTGCTAAGATACGACAGATGAAACCAAAACACACAAAAGTGGAAAAACCAAGCAAACATCAAGAAGTGCATAAGGGAATTATGATATGCTAAAAAGGCCTGCTGGCATCAGCTTACTTACTAAACATCTGCATTATGAATATCTACTCCTTCTGCCAAAGCTTCTAGGTCAAATGGACCCTGTTCCTCGCCTGAGAAAGATATACAGAAAGAAGAATGAGACTCTTAAAATACAAAGAACTAATCAGCTGTACCATGAGGACCAAAAGGCATCAGTATCTTAAATGGGAAGACTTTACTATTTTTTTAATAATGCAAGTAACTTTTCTAATCACAAATGCACACAGTGTTTTCTGTAATAGGAGTCTTGGCTGTATTGTACACTTAAAGACACAAATTTCTAGTTGATTCTTTGACATTTGTAACTGATGGTGATGTGTTGATCACAGTTTATTTTTTCAGACTAGATAATGTTCATACTTTTAATGTTAAATGTGTTTATATTTATTTGAAATGAAACAAGTGCCCAGAAAAAATGACCATGGTTTGTTCTCTTTTTAAGTTCTTTTATGTCTTTATTAGCTATGAATTCAGGCAGCCTAGTATGCTGAGTTTGATAGAAAGAATGGGCAGAGGATGTGGCTACTTTGTTGTTGTTGTTCTTATACACCAAGATAGGGAATAATGTAAAAACAAGCTTTGTTCATACCCAATTTGTCAGGGGACTGAAAGTGTTTGCTTTGTGAATAAATAGCAATCATTGCCAGTAGGACTGGCCCTATCATTAGCCAAGGAGTGAAGGGAACTGCCTCGGACAGCAGTTTTGGGAGCAGCAGTGGTAGTTCCCTGCTTGTCTCACCTGAATCCCTAGTTGCTTTCCTCTGCTGGAGGACAGAGTCATGGGTGCCACACACCTTGTCCTGCATCTGCTAATTAGTCTGTTTCCCTCAGGAGTGGTGGAAGTGCACTCTGCAAACATCAATGTTCAAGTAAAATTCACTTGCCAGCTGAGTTTATTCCTACACATGGAAAGGGGGAAATCTCTGTTCTTTGCATCAGGTAATAAAATAACTCAGGTTGTCGCTGGTTGCTAGAGCAGAGAACACACAGAAAAAAAATCTATAGTGAATCTGTCCCTACATAAGGAAACAGTTCTCCACATTTCATAGTACAAACCAAAGGGTGGACTATGGAGGCAGAAGGGAATTGTTACTCCTTTCTCATTAAAGCAAGATATATTGATCTCCTTGCCACAGAGATTTACAAACAGAAAAGATTTCAATTTGAGACTATATCTTCATACAACAGCACACAGTATATTTTGAGCCTAGGTGCACTTTTCATTGCAGAAAGAGTAATCTAGTCCTCCTAGAAGATTGTCATCTTCTTGGTAATAAACAGTGTTCCCACATTTCAGCCACTTACAGTTTTCCTTCTGTATACAAAAAGCTGGGTTTTCCAAAACCCAGCTCAGTTCTGGAATACTTTTAGTCTTAGCCAAGTGATGAAGGGAACAACTGCATATTGTTAACTCAAAATGAAGTGGTTATTGCGCTGCAGGCAGGAAAGTAACTCCCACTTGTTAGATTCTGGCAATTCATGGGTTAATTAAACCACAGTTACATGGAAGTCAGATTCTGAATGCAATGTCTAGAAGGGCAGTTTACATGAAGATGGGGAGCTTTCTCACCTTGCCAGACAAACTGTCCTTCTAGCCATGATCTGCCTTCCCTGAATGGAAGGGCTCCACTTATGGAAAGTGCCTCTACCTGATTTTTTGGAAACAAAAAACCACAGCTCATCCCCATTCTCTGAACCCTCTGGTAATGTTTTTAGCAGGTTGGAGGGGCTGTGGTAGGGAAAATTGAATGAGGACTGCTTCTACCCATCCAGTTGCATGTGCCTAAATCTGGAGTCAATCCCAAGTCTTAAGAGTTTTTTACTTCACATTTTGCACTCTGTTAGCAATACCAAAGTACAAAATAAATGTGGACCACATTGGACATTAAGGGTGCATGCATCACTTCCCACTTTAACACAAAAGCCTGGTTCACATGTTAAGGCAATCTTGGGTTAATTGACCCACAAATTGCCAAAATCTAGCATTAGTGTGCGCACTGCCTTGTTCTATTGGTAGGTTGTTAGTGTGACATCCAAAGCTGGGCATTCTGGTTGTTAGGGGTTAAACCCATGAGTTGTTGGGTTGCTTCTGGGTTCTTTAACCCCTGACAATCAATGAGTGGCAATTGTAGGTTTGTTTTAAAGTAGAAGGGAGAATTATGTTGGAGGTAGGGCACTAACTTCCTTGTGTTAGCTTTCGGTCATTCATGTGTCAAGCCACAACTGCAGTTAAATGCTAAATGGATCACACACAAGTAGAAACTGGGAATTTGTTTAAGCCTACACTTTTCCTTGACTAGGGACTGTAATGCAAGAAGTCACCATTAGTTAGGGGTCTTGCTTCCACTAAGATCCTGAGAAAAAGCCTGTAAAGTGCCCCATAAATCCCACTATTAAGATTCTGCAATGAATCCATGACTGCAAGATGCAAAGGCTCATCTAATAGTTAGAACACCAGCAGTTACTTACTGGAACAGCTCAGGCTTACCATTCTCAGAACATGAACATGAGCAGGAAGTTGTTTTTTAAATCTACTTCGAGAGGGAAGGAGGGAATGTAATGCTCTAGTAACTTCTGACTAGCCTGGTGGGACATGGTAAAGCCTGTGTTGTCTGGAAGGGTTGAGAATTCATACATCAGATCCTGCAGCAAGCACAAGAAAGAGATATGCATAATCTGGGAGGTTACCGATCAGCTTTTGACAAATACATAAAAGACTGAAATTTTGAAATTTAATAAGAAAAAGTAATCTTTTGATGTCAATCAGTGACATCAAAAATTGCTATAATTATAATATATGCTTTGCTGGATCAGGAGAGAGTCTGAGAGGAACAAAAACATACATATCAAAATGATTGCCAATCATAGTATTCCTGTCCACTATATTTTGTCTAGCTGCTGCAGATCTGATTGGTAGGAATTGTGAAATGGAAGGAGTTTTTCCCCCACACCTCCCAACCAATCCTTGAAACTGAAATGGAAATCCTCTTTCATTAAGAACTTCAGTGATTCTTATATTTTCCTTCACTGGGAAATCCTAGCATCTAAATACAGTAATAAGTTTTTCCTCTTAGTATCTTTTCATAATCAAAACAGACATTCTAGAATACTGCTGAACAGTACTTAGAGATAAGACTTGCTTAGTACTTAGAAAGAACCGCTTAGTCTGTAGAACTGAGTAGAAAATAAGTAGTAGTTTCTTCTTAATTCTGGGCTAATTATTATTTAAAGGACTTCTTTTAGGGAGAAGTTTGAACCACCTTGATTTGAAAGTTGGGAGAATAGGAGGGGATATCCCATTGTACAAGCATAAGTCACTCTTCACATTAGTCACTCTATAGCAGCTTTGCCAATAGTGATGCTGATGGAAGATGATGGGAGTTGTAATCCAATGCATCTAGAGAACACAGGGTTGAATAAGATTGCTGCACTATGGTGACTTTTTATTTGGATGTACTCTTTAAGATATCAATTGGATATATTTACAGGATTATCTTTTCTTCAAGGCTGTAATCCTCTGTTCCAATATACAGATGTAAGCCCCACAGAACAAAGCAAGACTTAATTCCAAGTTCACACATTAAAATTGGGTTGCATGTTGTGTAATTCCTTTTTTCCCTATCCCGAATTGCAAATGTATTAGAATAACAATGCTTTGAATAATGACCTCACAGTATTTTTGATAGTGTGTCATTTGGGTATTTAAAAAAAAAGTGCATTCCATGATCATAAAAAAAAATATTTACAATCAACTTAAGTGGGATATAGATTACACTCTAATTGTTCCCTTCACTAAATGGCAATACTGTTTTGTAGCAAACAAGGTACTGTACTTAAACTGTAGTAAATATCAGGTTTGGTCTTGCTTGGATTTTTTAAAAAAATGTCAGAGACTAAGCACTCTGTTTGTTCCACTGAAAGTAGTGGGATTTGCTTTCTGGTAAATGTGTTTCAGACTGAGAAGCATGACCACGAGAAGTAATGCATGCATCCTGTCTACACCCACATTTCTGTGTTGACAACAAGTATTTAATTTTTGTGAAACTTCAACTGCAGGGTTATAATGCATGACATTTACTGCTTGCTGGTCTCTATTGTTTGAACTGTAGGATGAAATAGCTCAGGGGATTTCTGTTTATCACTACTAAAAGGCCACCATGTTACATTTTGGTACTTTTTACAGCAAACATCTGCTGTCCTTAACTATGGATTGTGACTAATGCTTAAAACTTAATTTCTTGTCTACTCTCTTTAGAAACTTGATAATGTATCTGGGTTTCATCATATAAAAAAACCTTTTAGAGTGCCTTTTTATATTTGTGTATGCTGGGTATGTATTGTGATTATGTCTTTCTTTCATTCGAGTGATACTGAAGCGATATAATACCTATACATTTTCATTTCAAAACTTAATTTGAATGTGTTTTTATTTTAAAAATCTGCTTGTGTTAACATGAAAATTAATATGCTAAATTTGTATAGGAATTGTGGATAACTTTTTGAAGTGCTGCAAACATTTTCTTATTACACAAAGCAAACCTTAGGTCAGTGTTATTGGGAAGGGTGTTTTAAAATGGTGACAATCTTGAGTGTGTATAAAATACAATTATATGTGTTTGTAATGCAGTGATATACATATTAAAAAGCCAATATCTAATGTTTTTGGTAGTTTTGTCTTCATATTTTATGCTTTTAGCATGTGCAATATATCTTTACAAACCATGGTGATATGAATCTGGTGACAGTGTTACATTTTGTATAAAATGTTTGTAATAAACAATATGAAATATTGTTAAATGGTTTCAGTGAGTTTGTTGATATTTTTAAAAATGTAAACAGAACTTTAACAACTTACAAAGGAGTTAAATAACCTGGTTGTACGAAATGAGTATAACAGATTAATTGGATCCTGAACTTATTCAAGCACAGTTTAATATCTTTTTCAACTACTGAATGCTGTATTAAATGTAATGGAGTATCCTTTCTGCAAATGAGTATTGAAATGCATTCAGATGCATATTTTTACAAATAAATGGTATAAATCTTGTGGCAAAACCTGAGTGTGTTTGTCAGTACTTCTCCATATTTTAAGGGTTTTGTATACATGCACACATTATAAAATGCATAATAACAGAATATAAACAATCATGTTTGCTGATTGATTTTTTAAAAATGTCTTATAAAACACAATCTGTGTAATATTAAAATCAATAACTATTAGTTGTTGATGATTAATCAATTGCTAGTATTTATGGCATTAACAACAACTTAACAGCAAAATATAAATTTTCATTATCCTGTCAAATATACAACATCCATAATAAGTTTGTCACCCCCAACAACCTAGAAACTATCAAAGTCTGAGAATTAAAGCATATTGAAAAAGAACTCTCTTTGTACAGACTGAGAAGTAGGATTCCAAATAAAGCAGACTGTTCCAAAGGATAAACTATCACATAAAAGGCCCTGTATTTAGAAACTCTCAGGTGGGAACTGTTACTTTTTACTTTGTCTACAAATCCTAAACTTAATCATTTGCCACTACTGCTTGTCTCTGTTCTTAAAGCATGCTTCTATCCCATAAAACACTATCATTCTCCTTCATGCACTGAATCGTATGGGATAGGGAAACAGATGTCCTTGTCCTTTACTCAGAAACTTCTCATGTTTTCCTATTACTATTGTCATTTTTCTTAACACCCTAAATCTTTTCTGCAAAAAAGTCTGCTCGGCACATATATCTACTCTATCCAGCAACAAAAACCTATGCAAACTATTCATTCAGCACCTTTACAATCTCCCTGTCTTCCCTCAGCATAGATTTCCTTTCCTTTTCACTGAACACCCCAGTTGCCTCCTTCTCCAGTTTCCAACATTATGTGAGCAGCAACATACTTTTGGAGTGTATCTAAAGGTTAATATGCCAATCTGGACTTGTCCCCAGTGTAGGCACAGGAGACTGATGGTAGTATAACTGCATAAACTGTTGCCTCTACTTTTCCAACTTGCTTGCATGAATTACAGCCAAGAAGGTGAACTTTTGCCAGTCCTCTAACAACGATGGAGAAGATATAATGTGTGCTTGGCCTGTTTCAAACTTGGTTTTTGGAATTTATGATTGTATAGACTTGTTACAAGGTTTTATAGTCAGAGTTGAATTTGGATCAAAGTTCACCAAGTTTCTTTTCTCTGTGAAAAGGCTTTAGAACTAAGACTGTAAAGGTGCTGATTTAGTCTTCTAAAATCCTAATATATTGCATATCTTATATCCCTAATTCTGATGTAAACATACTGATTGCCTTCTTTGTTGGTTTAGTACTTGCTCTATGGGGTCTATTAGCTTGTTGTTTTTAAGTGCTGTCAGGTCTTCTTCAGCTCAGGGCAACCCTATGAATGACTGTCCTCCAAAGTGGTCTGTTCTTCACCGCTCTTGTAAACTATGGCTTCCTTGATGGAGTCAATTTACCTCATATTTGGTCTTCCTTTTCTTCTTGTCTTCAGCTTTCTCTAGCAGCATTCTCTTCTCTAGTAAGTCCTGCAGAATGTTAGTCCTGCAACCTTTGTTCCACAAGTATTTGTGCACTTCCTCTCAAGTTGGTTTGCTTTGAAAGACTTAGCTAAGCATGAGAGGAAGTCCACTAATACTAGAGGGATGGATTCCTTTAGGATTTCTCCCAAAGCTCTCCTCCAGTATCATGTTTTTAATGCATCAGTTTTCTCCACTATGCAGCTTTCATGCCCTTACATAGTGATTTGGAATACAATCATCTGGATGATCTTGTCCTTGATCTCAGTGAAACATCCTTACACTTGATAATCTTTTCTTGTTCTTCCATTGCTGCCCTTCCAAGCTTCAGTCTTCTAATTTCTTGGCTGCAGTCTCCCTTTGAATTGATGACAGAGCCAAGATATGCAAAATCATTCACAATTTCGATTTCTTCACTGTTGACAGTTTCTGTAATTCTTTTGTAGTCTTGATGGTTATTAATATTTAGCCACAGTCCTGCTTTGGCACTTTCATCAGCAGTTGATTCAGTTCATTTCTGCTTACTGCCAGTAGTTACATTGTTGACATATCTTCTTCCAATTTTAACCCAGCTTCCCTTATTATATGTTCTGTATACAGTCTGAAAAGGTGGGGAGATAAATTATACCCTGATCCAATGCCTTTGCTTATAGGTAACTGTTCTATTTCTCCATATTCTGTCTTAACAACTCTTGGCCACAATACAAGCTATGCATTAGGATGATCTAGGGCTTAGGTATACCCATTTCTTCCAGGATCATCTATAGTTTCTAAAGATCCACACAGTCAAAAGTTTTGCTGTAGTTTGTAAAGCATAGAGTGCTCTTCTCAACCATAGTCTATTTGATTTCTGTATTGGCTTTGTGGTGATGTCCATGTGTACAGTCATCTGACCGGTTGCCTGACACAGGTATTCACAATAAATAGATGGCTGGCTTCATAAAATCCTATGAGCTGTTATCCTGGTTTATTTCTTATGCTTAGGTCAGATTATTTCACAAGACTGAATTCTGCTTTGCTTCCTACTTTTGCGTTCCAGTCACCTACGATGATCATCATGTCTTGGTTTTGGTGCATCATCAGTTTCTTCTTGGACACTTGCATAAATGTTTTTGATTTCTTCTTCAGCATCTGTTGTTGGAGTATAGATTTAAATTTTCACACATTCTGATTGATAATATTCAGTCAGATTTTGTATTATAGCCTCATTTCTTGTGTTAAATCTTGCCTTAGTATTAGAGCCATCTCATTTTTTTCCCCTAAGTTCGTCAGTTCCAGTCTCAGAGTGAAACACTTTGCCTATTGAAAATATCCCGTTTTGGTCTACTTTAGTTTGCTCATTCCAAGTATTGTGATGTTTAGCTGTTCCATTTCGTGCTTTAGTTTTCAGTTTGCCTTGATTCATACTTCTCACATTCTGTGTTCCAATTCTATGTATTGTGTAGCATCAGACTTTCATTTCAATTCTGTGCATGTCGGCCACTAGATTTACTTGTGGCTTTGATCTAGTGGCATCATTAGCAACAGCACTAATGGTACTTGTCCTTTGTTCTTGCCCAGGAGCTGTTTGAGGGCCTTCTGTCTTGGGAGTCTCATGTTCTAGCATTATCTCGCATTTTGGATTGTTGCATCCTTGGGATTTTCAGGGAAGAATGTTCAGAAGCGGTTTACCATTGTTTTCTTCTGTGCAGAACTAACCAGAGTTAGCTTGAGCATCACTGCTGTTGTCTGTGAAAGATGTTCTGCTGTTGTTGCCTTCAGCTACCACTGCTGCCCATTAGCTGCCATTCAGGAGTTTCTCAGTCCCCAACACTGTTAGGGATATCCATTCTCTTCTGCTGATGTGACGGGTGGGTGCATCTTAGTCTAGTGTCACTGCTTTGACCATTGCACCTTGGCCCTGCTATGAGACCAACCTGGTGAGACCATCCAACAACCTGGTGGCATTGCTCTAGGCTCCATAACCCCCTCACTACATTAAGGTGTGCATCCAAGAGGGACCATTACCCTAGACAAGCTTTTTTCAACCTGGTGTACCTTACAGAAGTTTTGGATTTGAATTCCCACAAACTTTGGTAAGCATACCTTATAATCAGGAATTTCGGGACCTGTGGGCCAACCAATCTGAGGGGAATTAAGTTGTCTAACCCTGCATTGACTTCTTCAGGTGCTTTTTGACAATATGTTAAGAACCTGTTGTTGTTGCTGTTGTTGTTAGTCGGGAAGTCATGTCCGATCCTAGAGAGCTGCAAAGTTTCTTCATCAACCCCATGCCAGACCACTTATGAATAACAGGACAGCCTTTTAAAACAGGGCAGTGACAGTCTGAAAATTCTCAATTTGTCGTGCTGCTGTTTTTAATGCTAGGGCCTATTTTTAAGTGTCCTTTCAAGTCAAATTGTACGTGTTTCGGGGTACTTTATTACATGCACTTGACATCTGTCATTCTTCTATTTCCTTCACTAATGAACAACCTTGAAGAGTTACCCTTAGAGAACGGGGAGAAAGCACCATCTTTGCAACTTTTCAGATTTTAAACACCGGCGATAATTCGACTTTCCAGGGAGGACAGCGCTCCCACGCCAGTCTGCTGACCTTCCTAACATGCCAGAACGCATCTCCCCCAAGTTCCCAACCCTCCCAAGATGGCGGCCCGCCTCATCCCTCGGGCTCTATTTTCCCGCCAAAATGGCGCCGTCCCATCCCGAAATGGCGGCTGGGTTGGTGTGCGCAGCTCTTCCGACCTTCCAAATATGGCGAAGGTCCGAATTTTCCCGCCTTCCTTCCTTCCCTTTAATTTTTGAAAGTGACTCCGCCCTCCCCGCCCGTCAGGCTGCCGGCCCGGCGCTCCACCCTCTCCTACCCAGCCCCTTTGGAGAGGGGTTTGCTTGCTACCGACGGGGGGCCCAAGGAGAAGCTGGCGGAGCCCAGGCGGGAGAAGGAGTCCTCGGCACGGCTGAGGGCGGCATGTGGCGGACGGGGAGGGTCTTCGGGGCCGCGGCGGCATTTTATGGGGCGCTGGCGGCTCTCGTGTTGCTCGGTGTCCGGGACGTGCTTTTCCAGTATGAGGAGAACCGGTGCAGCATGACCTACATGTTCGAGTATCCCGAGTACCTGGTGAGTGGTTGCTGAGCAGAAGGGGAGCAGCGGCGGGCGGGCTGCCTGTCCTTGGGCTCGGGCTCGGGCTCGGGCTGTGGCGTGCGTCAGGGCTGCCTGAGGGAGAGGTGTTTGAAGCAGCCCTCTCCCTCTCGTCGTCCCCCAGCGGCGGTCACTCTACGGTCTGGGAGCGGATGCTTCTGCATCCCATGAAGTCCAGGGAAGCCTCTGCCAGAAAAAATGTAATAAGTCTTTCAAAGTGCTGCAAGGACTCTTATTTTCCCCGCATGTGTGTGAGAACTATTAGTGTCGACGTCAGGACGTTACACTTTCGCTCTTTTTTATATAGAAGGCGCACGACCTCTCTTTTTTCTACTTCGACTTTTTCATTAACCCTTCACCAATCAGTTATTCCTTTCTTTGGTTCTGTACTCTCAAAGACTGCAATTCCAGGCGTGTCAACTCAGAAATAAGTCCCACTGAATTCAGCGAGGCTTGCTTCCTAGTAAGTGTGCGCATGATGTCAGACTGAAACACCGATTAAAGCTACAGTCCTAAACACATCTAATCAGGGAAACCTGTTGGACTCACTGGGATTTCCTTCTGAGTAAGGGTGTGTTTACATTGCTTTGTAAAGCTGAAGTACTGAACAGTCTTACTTCAAAGTAAATTCCAGTGAACTCAAGGAGGCTCAGAATGAGCATTAATAGAGCTCCCCTTTGGTTCATTGTAGCCACCTCTGCCACCCATTTCACACATAATTGTGTACTGATCTCTTCGGTTTGTTTGCTACCTAGTTTAAGTGGGGGATCACCAGGATTCAGCCCCTGTTATGAGGGTCATTTGTTTAAGAAACAGAATAATAATGGCCTCCAACAAGTTGCTTCTCTTTTCTAACAGTGAAAAGGCATCAGGTCTCCACCTGTCAAGGGTAACAATTCTCAGAGGGCACATTTTCCAGGCTAGCTTGAGGTCTAGGCTTCCTTATTAGAAATTGACCACTGCATTTATTAGTAACTTACCTGATTGTGAGGAGGTGGAGATGTTAACAGTAGCATTTAATGCAATCCATGATAATTGTTATTTTAAATATATGCCCTCAACAATTAGAACAGCACCAGATATTTTACTTACAGTAAAAACATCACTTTCCTTACACACACACACCCCCCACATAAAAAAGCATACTGTTCTTTTTCATTCTCAGAAGGTTTTCCAGAATTCTGCTTTAGATAAATGACTTTTTTTATGCAGGTGTAGCAAGGATAATAAAATGGAGTGGTGTTCAGCTCTTTCAGACCTGCTACAACTCATCGTTGATTTGCAAATTGCACTTGAGACGCACTCCTAATATTTAACATTGTGTAGCATTTTTGCCTTTTATGATACTGATCTAGATTGATCTTGTACTCTCCCATTCACACCATCTGCTATTGTTTTCCTATCCCCCTTTTAGAAGATAGCTATGCACCCAACAGTTTGACCCATTGTAGATAAGGTTGGACACCACTTCCAGGCAAGGACTTAGCCAGTGAAGACAAGTGCTATAGAGGAAAGGGTTCTTGAATCTTTAATAGAGAGAATTTAGGCAGCTTGTCACATAATAATGTAACTGGGAGGAGGAACATTGTACTTGTCAACATTTCTGCTTCTCTGCAGCCCTTCTCATCATGTCAGTTTAGGCACAATATGGTCCATTTTAGTTGTTCTTTAATCTGTTTTATTCTGAAAGGACCCAACATTGTATGGGTTGGAAAAGCGAATTTAGGCATTGGACGGTGTTCAGCCCATCTGATTGATGTCATGGCTGCTGATAGCCCTGTTGTGGTGCATCCCCATAGCCCTCCCCCCGAGGAAAAGTTCTGTCCACTTCATTCCCCTAAGTGGGAAGTGGCATGGGGCAGATATTCAGCGTTATACTCAACTTGCTTGGCTTCATAGCCTATTAACTGCAAAGCTATGCTCTGGTTAGAGAAGTCTGCTCCTAGTGACTAAATATATTGCTACAGGCTCTAGCCAGAATGTCTTAATTAATTGAATTAAAATTAATGTATGTCAAAACCAAAAGATCCCAGAGCTGCATACCTAAGGGTCTCTATTAGTATGTGTGCCAAGTTTCAGTTGTCTAGGTTTCATGGTTTTGGTGCTGAAAGACATGCGTCCTTTCATAGATTTTAAAGTTACAGAATTCACAATTCCTCATAAGTACATTTCTCCTGATATCTAAAATAGAATCTTAATCCCCATTTTCTTATTCATCACATAGGTGTATAGTCAGCCTAAATAAAGAGGTGAAGTTTGTTAATTCCTCTGCTTTCCACAATGATTTTAAATTTTATTTGTAAATAAAAAGAGCTGTATGAGGTATCATAAGGTCTAAATTGCATTCTGGTTACATTGAGATGTACACACTTTTGGTCTCCGCTCCTACTGCTTAGGCACCCCTGCTTAAGTAAAACTCAGAAACCAATTTCAGCAGTGTTGGGGGGGTGGGGGCAGGGACGACAGGACTGTAAAGGACATGAGAAGAAAACGCCCACACAGTGTTCTGCACCTGGCTTGGATTGTAATTTGGGTGTTGAAATCTGCTTTTTGCCTTAGGATATTCAGTGTAATAATAGCTAGCTTTCATTTGCAATGGGTGTGATAATATCAGCTATAAACACAGGCATCATTGCTGCAAACTGAAAAAGACCATTTATCAGATGGTTTGAGTGATTTTTTTTTTCTATCTTCAAACAAAATAACCTACCATGTTCCAAAGCATTTAAAATAGTGGTTTTCTGAATGTAACTGAAATATACAAGGTGCTGAACATATGAAGGTTTTATATTATTATAATTTCATATTTCTATGATTTTGAGTTTCATATTGCTAGGACCTTGCTAAGTAGAAATTTTGGATCAGAAAGAGGAAATATTCTGTAGCATATCTTTTAAGTATGAAACTGATAAGGAAAACTGTTCTGTGCATTGGGTTGAAAATAAACAGTTATACAGTGGGTTGATGATTGCAACATATATTGATTGTTAAAGCTGTCAGGACTTCTCTGGTGAGTATTAGTGCTCCAGTACTGAAAGTGAAACCTACCTTGGAATTTATTGCCCAAGGACACACTGGGCATATTCTATGGCAGTCTTGTTTGTTTATTTACTTGGGACAGTGTTGAAAACAAGCAGGAAGAGCAAAAACATTCATTTCCAAAAAGGTGAGGTTGGTAGAAGAGAGCTCGATTGACAGGTCCTGTGCTGGAAAATAGTGCTGCCTCTTGTTTCTGCATTTCTAACTGTGGAATCCTTCAGAACTAGCTGAAGAGCAGTTGAAATACTGGATGCTGCCCATTGTGTGGTCTTGGGCCTAAAGCAGGGTGTTAAAACAGTTTCTGGTCCTGTGCTCTGTTGGGACTTAGCTCCAATTAAGGTATGCTGGAACAAGCAAATGTTTACAGACTGAATTAGTGACATAATTTTTGTGTGAACAAAATGGATTTGTTAGAAAACCTTGGGGTTTTGAAGGCTGTTTTATGCAAATAACACAACTGTGCATATATCTGGAAGCCACTGAAAGAACATTTCAACTGCCCCAGCATGCTGCTGACCTGAAACTAGCTATTGTTGAATCAAGAAATTTCAAAGGGAGACTATGGTGTGAAATCATTGAATTACAACTTGAATTACCTACCTATCTTATACTCTTGGGCAGTTTGGAATGTAATCAATAAATACATAAAATCAAGAATTGGAACTATGTTGCTTCTAGTTTGAAAATATGGCACAAACTTTTATGGCTGTGCTTTTGTTGCCCTGTATACAGTAGATTCATTATTGCTTATCCAAAATACATCAACATGATGTGTCAATATATATCATCATTCTTGATCTGTATATGTAACTAAACAGCATGATTCTTATAGTGTGATTGGAACATCACTAGTATTCTGTTATTTGTATACTTGCATTGTGTTGTTACCGTGATATTAGTAGTAATAGCTAAGAGGATTTGAAGTGGAAACAAGGTCTCCTCGTTTGACTGGAATACATGAAGACAGATTAGCTAGGGATGCATGTGCTGCACTGATACATAGTGGCTGTCCATGTTCATTTCAATCCTTGACTTAGTTGTAATTCTGACAAGCTGTCTTTAGAATTACATACGTATTACAATTAGTATAGGACTTCTGCATTAGATCTTTTTAAAGCCATATAATGCCAGGGACCTAGGTACTTCTCAGATTTGCTTACCCCAAAACAGTCTACCTAAGACATCATCTGAAGTTTTCCTTTTAGTGCCTCCGTCTTCCAAAAGGCTTTGGAACTGACGGGGCAAAGGGGCTTTCCAGTTTCTTCCACTGTTATCATTTCAGCACTGGGCAAGGGCCTTTTTATATATCCAAATGTCTGAGATTTTTAATTTTAAAGTATTTTGTCCTCAGTTATTTCATTTTTGTACTGCCCCATAACCAAATCTCTGAGCAGAAACCATAAAAATATCAATTGATGTTATTGTGTTTGTCTGATGATACTTGCTAATTGATTGTACTGTTTTAGCTGCCCTGAGAACATTTGTGCTAAAAGTTCATATAATGTTCAGTAGAAAACATGTTGCTGCTTAGTTGCTTAATTTCATTCAGCTTGGGTTAAACAAGCCCAGGAATCTATGCAAGTGTTCTCTTTTCCCCATTTCATTGTCCTTTACTCCCACAGCTGATTTTAAGTGTGGCATGAAGGACTTAGATGCACCAAGGAAAGAGAATACTTAAAATGCCAGGCTAATTGGACTGTTACCTACCCTTATACTTGATTGTAAGCAGCATTAGTTGATGAACTTAAGCAGAGATTAGTACCTTAAGTATTAAATCTTCTTTCATACTGAGGTTCCCATAAGTTCTGACTTTTGTTGTGAGAATTCCTTTCTTATTTATTTATTCAAACTTTTATATCATCTAATAGCCAAAGTGTTCTGGATGTTTTACAACAGTTCCTTAAACAGGACCATGATAAAACAACTTTATGTTTGCCTTG